TAGGATTAAGCTAGCCTATTTATATCTGCTTAATCTCTTTTATTACGTGTGACAAAAAATTGTAATTTTTATATCTTGGTTGAATCTCGTCTTTTTAGGAGGCAAATTATTCATAGTTGTCCTATATCAGCTTTTTTGAAGAACAAGCTACTAGCAGTCACATGTTATTTCTGGAGTGCTTTAACTGATATTGTACTTTGAAAAGATGACTTAAAAGTTATAGGCATATATATACATATGTGTATATATACATGATTAAAACGACTCTTTTCTTAAGAAGTATTTAAATGACCAAGAAGATTGAACTGGGAAATTTTCCTTCATATCAGGACGTTATTGGTTTATAAGGAGGACTGAAGTTAGGATTTTTTTTTTGTTTATATTCAAGCAATTTGCTTTTACGTTGTCCTTGAAGTGTGCCTGTAGGATTGGGCTTTCTTTAGTTATATCTTGCATGTTTAATGTCTTTGCTGGATCCTTTTCCATGTTAAGGAGAGCAATTACTCCTTGTATTGTATGAAAGTGCTTATATAGTTGGGTTAAAATGGTTGCAAATATTTGTGTAAATGCATGTCTGTAATTACTTGGAGAGACAGATTTATGGTCCTCCAGGGTTCTGGAAAACCAGATTGCTGCTTCTAGAATAAAGGGACAAATTTAAGCTTCTATCTGTTCAAGCATGCATAAAGTCATTCATAAATGTGGGCATGTGCTTGTATGAGGGTGCATGAATGTGCATGCTGGTGTTGTGTTAATTTCACTCGTTATTTTATCATCTTTCTCTTCTATAACAATAATTTTCGTGCACCTTTACCAGTGAGTAGGGAGGTTTAAGTAAGCATCATAGTTGTCCATGTAACTAAAATCCAGAAAATAGGGGTTATTGTTCCAATAACTTTAGTAGTATTGAAGACAATATATTGTTGGTTTGAACAGTCTAATGTGTTTCCTCTTTGATAAATTTGTCACATTGTTGTGTTTTTGCTCTAATAATATATAAATCTATATATATTTTATTACAAAAAATATATATATATATATTATGTTTGTTTGCATCTTATCTTTGTTGGCCGAGTATCTCCATGATAATTTGTTGTACTAGTTCACTAATATTTCTAAGAAACTGGGTCAGTTTGATGATATATTTCTTGGTTCCCATCTAGAAATTGCAAGGAATAAGTCTATTTTTCCATTAAGGCATAACGTTAAAGCCTCTAGGTGGTAAGGAGCTTTAGGCTTTTGGGTAGGTGATGCAGCAGCATGCCAACAAGTTTGATGGCTTAATGGGTTATGAAGTATAGTATAACCTTCTGTTTTGCAGGTTTCTCAATTTCTGGTTTTTTATGACCCAGTAAACCAATTGCATAGTAGCCAAATGGTAGTAAATAGAAGAAATAAAGAGGTGGTTCTTTTCATGTTTTCTTTACAATTCCCTTTTGTTCTGTTGGCCCAATGGATGCCATTTGCTGAATCTCAAATGTAAAAATGTATGTTGGAGCGCTTTGAAGCTGTTTTTTCAATTTCAAAATTAATATAGATTTGAGCTGCTGGCTTTTGGAGAAGGTGTTAATATGGCAAAGTGTCTGGTTTCTCAACTTCAAAATCAGAGTAGCTACCCGATTATGTACTTGGTCATGTAGGAGGTTGGGAATAGTCGAACAGCAGAGTGTTTCTAGGAGAGTAGGCATTTGGAGGAGTCTTTCCAATGGCATGTTCATTTATTCTAGGGATGATAGCCATGCAATTCATTGTTACAGAAGTTCTTTATGAAGTCCCAATACAACAGTATGCTTTCTCGGTGATCTTGGTTTCCATAGAAAAAGATCTAGCAGAGTAGGGCATCATCTTGAATTACATTTTTGGAGAAGGGTGACTTGCGGTAGAGCCTTTTACTGCAGACGATTTATGGGTAAGACGGGAAAAAATTTGCTACTGGTCGTCTTTTGTGTCTTTGAGAGTATTAATCCTCTCTTCATCTCTTTCTTTGGTGTTTCGAGATTACAACCACCATGTGCAACTTGTCCTCCATTTTTACTGCTTGGCTTGGTTGAAGATGAAGTTTGGGCTTACTACTGCCTGGAAGTGGAAGAGAGGGCTTAGAATTTGTGAATCTAGGGAGAGAGTTTTCTACCATTTTTTTTTATATTATTATTATTGATGTAGCATAGCTGATTTGGATTTTAACTAAAAAAATTAAAGGAAATAAAAAAGATAAATTGAGTTCACAGTAACAGGAATTGACAACTACAATTGAGTTCATCGTAATCGTGATATCTAATACGAATATTGATTCAACCGATATGACATACATGTTTATTTAATCTGAATTTACGTGGTAGTTTTACAGTATTAAAATAAAAAATTTTAAAATTAAAAAAGAAAATAGTAGAGAGATTCATCTGAATATTTTAAAAATAGCTGAGATATGACTATAATTGTTAGATGCTAAATTAAACTAGAGAAATCAACAGCTGTAACTAAATGTAGTAAATTAAAATCAAACCTATTGTAGATTGGTACAGTTCAAGTATGACTTTTCTGTCTTCAAAATGTTTCCATTATTGCATTATTCCTGTGCTCTGCCCACTCCCTTTACTTTTAAATCCTCTAGTCTTCTTAATAATATTATTTTGAGGGTTTACTTTATAAACACACGAGATTTATTGGTGCCTTTCGTGTGGATGGCGCACTCCCATGGTAAAGACTGATATGTTTTTTGCATGGTGCCGAGTATGTATGTATGTATATATATATATATATATATATAAATCTTTGGTACATGCTCGCTTAGTCAAGAATCCATCTTCAACACCAGTTTCCTCTTTAAATAAAAAAAATACATCAATTTCTACCTTCTCCCATTAAAAAAATACAGTTCATTTGTGGATTGTGTTCTTCTTTTTTTTTTGGGTAGAAACAAACAAAAATTGATATTGGAAAGGTGGTTATTCAAATCAAACCCATCAAACTGGAAATTCCCATCTTCTTTACAAATTCTCATTAAATTAAATTAATTTAAAATACAATGAAGATTCTTTCTAAAATGATAAAAGTTAATTCATATACTTTTAATTTTTTTATTTTATTATAAATTGTGAATTTGTAAATGAATTTGATCTATATAATCTCTCAATAAGTTCCACATAAACAGAAAATTTTATTTTTTTAGGCAGATGTGGAAAATCATGTTTCTTTTTCCATTTTCTTGTTTGGATTAGATAGTAGTTAATATATTCAAGACTTTATATATATATATATATATATAATTAAATTATCTTCTCCTTGAAAATTCTAATGACATCTTAAAATCAAATTTTTAATTTTAAAAAATTACTTACGATAGTGGAACTCATACTATCAAATGAAAGAAGCATATAAAAGGATTAGTGTTTGCCTCAAAAGTATTAAAATAATGCGAAATCTAGATATTTTAGTTGTATTAAAATTGACACAATGATAATTTTTGCTTCCTTAACTTGTAAGTTCCACCTTCATAGTTAATAATTGTACACGATCTAAATTTTAAAGTTAGAAAGATCTTTTCGTACTTAAAATAGAAAGATCTTTTACTATATGATGAAATGTTTGTGTTAGACTACGAAATTGTTGGTAGTTTGAACATAACAAAAACCTACTTATAATATGTGAGATACCGTCTGCTATCTCATATGTGGCTAAGGGTCGCACCAAAACAAAAAACTTTTTCTTGATAGGTGTGATCCGTTGGACATAAATCCAAATTTTCAATTTTTTTGATTCCTTTGAGTTTATTTTTCCCCTTCCTGGCGGTATCAAAATGACACTGTGTTGCTATTTGCTCAATTATCATAACACCTTTTATACATTTTGGTTGTGTAGTTTTTCATATTACAAATCTAACATGAACATTAATTAAGAGGTGGATTTGAAGTGGAACTAGAGTCATGCAATATTTTGGTAGAATTACCTAATGAAAATGAAGCAATTTAACTGATAATTTTGCTACTATTAATTCCTATGAAGATTTTACTAGTATTTCGTATATTAAATAATAATCATAAAGTTGATGAAATGAGATAAGATCAATCTAAAATTTAAAGTCATAATAAAAGAATTATAATTAAATCTAAAGTTACGGAATATTATAATATTAAATTTTACTATGACAGATGGATGATTGTTTTGTCGGCTAGTAGTACTATTTTTTTGAGAAATTGAAAGATAGACTTATATTTTCTTGAAGTTCTTACAACATCGTATGAAATTAAAGCTGATGGGTTGGTGGAGACGGAGTCAAAAACTTTGCATGAAAACATCTCACGCTTCGAAAGAAGATTCTAACCCGAGGACATAAGGAAATTTCTCATCAAAGAAAAAGAAAAAAGATGAGAGGAGCTTGGCCATTAACACTTATTCCTTTGGGAAGCATATGATATATTTTGGATTATTAATTGAGATGAAGTTGTCCGGCTACTAGGGAATGCATTCTAGCGGAGAAGGTATGATAAATATTTTCTAGGTGCTAACTTGATAGAGAGGAAGTATCACGTGGAATATGTAAGAGGTCAACGAGTTGGAGATTGATGGTGGAGAGCCAAGGGTTGAAGATGTTGAGAAAGAAGAAGTATATACTTATAGGAAGCTCTGATGCCATGTTTGTGCAAGCAACGTAGAAGAGAGAATTCTGCGTCCATGCATACAGGCCATACATTGTACAAAAATAAGGTTTGTACATGCATGTATATATTCAATACATTCCTTTTGAAGATTTATAGCAGAAACTTTAAAAGGAGCACAATTTCATTCATATTCCTTAAGGAGATACACAGAATGCATAGGTACATCACTGGTTAACACGTTAACATTTTACATTTTCTCCTTCAGTAAAACCATACTAACTTATTTCAATAGACAACTTATTGTAAAACCACACAGTAAAAAGGAAAAAAAGAGCACATAAATCGATTAACAAAGACTTGGTTTAACACCAAAGTTGATTAATTAATTAGATCCAAATTAAATTAAATTTGCAGCCCATCAGATCCAATCAACTTGGTCAAACCAAAAGTGATACCTATTGCCATCATCCCTCCAATAACCACCCTACTGCTAGACTTCATCACAGGAGTCTTACCCAGCACAGCTCCCACCACTCCAAACACCATTAACGCCAAGCCAGCCACCACCACCACCACCGCCAACCTTTTCTTATGCTCATTTATGAACGCAGCCGCCACCAACGGTACCACTCCGCCAACTGAAAAAGCCAGGGCCGAAGCAATTGCTGCCTGTCCGGGGCTCGGCAGCTTTACTTCTGATCTTTCAATAACTTCTTGATCATCGTTTCCGGGTTGGCTCAACATCTTCTCTCGTTTTATCTGCGCTGTTTCTATATCTCTCTGTGCATACACAGAAACGAATTCTCCTATTGCCATGCTGCATGCACCGGCAATTAGACCTGCAAAGCCGGCTAGGAGCATGGCTTTGATGTCGTCTTTGACAGAGCCCACACCCATCATCAATGAAGAAACAGAAACTAGCCCATCGTTGGCTCCTAGAACAGCGGCTCGAAGCCATTGTGCTCGTTGGGAGTAGTCGAATTCAGTGTCTTCAGGTGATTGGGGTTGGTTTGCCGCACTTCCATTGACATGAATGGACATTTCTACGTCGGTATGGTCGTGGGTTTTTGGGGCAGACATGATTGGAATTTGGAAAAGAAGGAAAGAGGGTTTGAAATGTGTATGTGAAACTGCTAAATGAAGAAGATTTCAAGAGAAACTGATGAATGCTTGTGGAGGGCACACGCCCTCTTTTTATAGGGAGAGTGAGTGGAAGCCATGGCCATGAACCAAGTAATTATTTTAAAATAAAGAAACAAAAAGATGAGAATGTGGTAGATAAAAAGAAAGCTAGTAAAGATATGGGGATTTAATTAATCAAGCATTGTCTTAAGAAATTATTAAAAAAAAAAAAAAAAATTTCAGGACTTTCTGGTTTTCGTTCCAGGTTTAAGTTGAAAACTTTTCGACATGTACGAGCATGGAAATGAAAATCCAATGTGCCTAAATATTTAATATTTAATCCCAGTTGTTGCCATAAATGCCCTCTGCTATTACTCCTCTAAAAAAAACTCACCCTGTGAACCCTAGGCCTTTTGCTTCTACGGAATGCCATGCATTTCTAACATCTCTCCAACCAAATAGATTTGCAGGACATTTTTCAACCCATATACGTACTTCGTTTAGAATAAAATTAGTTGTTAGGTAAAATACCTTACTGCAAAAAATAATTTAACTAATATTTAATTGTAGATATAAAAGTATCTACAATGTTATATTATATAACTCAGAGTTAATTTTTTAAATTTAATATTACCTATTAAAATTATATTACGATCTTAAAAATGCCCTATATATATAAGCTTATATGTTAAAACTACATCTAAATACATTAGAAAACCCTAAAAAAAAGAAGAGAAAGAGTGAGAAAAGAAAGAGAAAAAAAAATATGTAACATCGAAAGTAAATTTTAAAATTAAAACTCATTATCATGATGTTTACATATAATGACAAAAAAAAAAATACATAAATAGATATATAAAAAAGAAAATACTTGTAGTCTGATAGTACGTTTTTAATTATTTTTTAATTTTTTTATCAACTTATAATCATCAAACATATGTAATTATAATCTTCAAATCATAAATTTTGCGTTAAGTAATAAGATTGTGTGACTTGAATGAAAACTGAAAAAATATTTTTTGCTACCGATAATTCTACCATATGTTAATGACGGATGCAAATGCTCTCATAGAATAATGAAGATGTTTATTTCCTTCCTCCACAAATCCCTGCACAGAACCAAATTTCCTCTACCCTCCCCCATCAACATTGAATTTCCAGCTTACCACATTAAGGAGGAACCTCTTCAAACTTGGCTCCTCCAAATCCTACTTCCACTACTAAGTAATGAGAGAAAATGATAATTAATATTTATATTAACACATATATATTGTGTTAAATTAATTTAAAAATATGTGCCAACAAATTAAACTCTCTTTAATTATTATTTTAATATTATATTTTATAGATGTAACTAATGGGAAACATAAGAACAATAAAAAGCACATTGGTTTTGGTTTTGGTTTAGTAGTGGAAATTAAAGTTGTCACGATGATATATATATATATCATTATAAAGAGGAGATGGAGTAATTAATATGTATGTGTATATATATATATATATATATATATATATATATACCTAACCTAGTTTTCCTGTTTATTTTATGCCGAGAAAATCCTCTTCACCAAAATGTCTTGATTATTTAATGAAGCGGCTGGTGGCTTTCGTGTGGTAAGAACACTCCTATACATTTATTAATATAACACAAATCCACAAAGTAGATTTCTTCGTGTATTTGCTCCTACTTTTCAGTAGTGAAGATCATCTGGTGACTTCTTTGATCACCAATTCACTCCCCGTTTCATATATTATATTTATGTATTTTAATCTGCTACAAATTAATGGTGCAAAAATATCTCTAGCATTATAATTAAAATAATTGTTATTTCAATTATAATACATATACAACTTAGTTTTCTTACTATATGTTACGGTTTATAAGAATAAATTTTTATTATTAAATATAATTAACACGCAGAATGAAAATAATCATATTAGTCTTAATATATGATATTATAGTTATAAAATTATCTCAAATATAAAAAATTGAGACAATAGTAACAATGAGACTATCGTTTTTTATAAACATATACATATATATAAGTCATTATAATTAGTGAAAAAATATTTATAATTTTGGGTGATGTCCGGCCAATAAATATGTGAAACGTCATGACTCAAATATAAAAGTTTAAAAATATTTTTAACTCGATAATCCTAAATTATCATTAATAATTAAAATAAACGTTAAAATTATTAGAAGTATTCTACAAATATACATTTTAATTATCAACTTCTCACCAATCATACCTAAAAGTCCAAGAATATTTTCCTAATTATAATATAATATACAGCCCTCAATGCATGATTCATTGCAATCAAATATACCACAAATAACGAATAAATACACATTTTAATATTCAGTTACGCTGATTTTAAATTCGATTTAGTTATTAGCCAAAACCAGAAGTTGAGGAACATTTTTTTAACCATGGTATTAGGGTACACCCTCAATATATTGTGCGTTACTTAATAGGATACCATCACAGTTATCCAACACGTATACATATATGTAATAAATATACACAGCGCTAAAACATAAATTCTTAACATGAAGTCGTGTTTTTCCTGCACCTAAAATAGGCTCTTACCATTTACTAAGTTCTCAAATGTGATCAAATTAAGTTTTACATAATTTTGTAGATATAAAATCCACAGGCAGCACTTGGTATCTCCTGGTTGCTAACTCACACACCAATACAATACCATAATGTTTTATTTAAAAATGCTTAAATTAATTTCGTTGAATAATTAAATGCAAATAATTAGTTTTCTGAATTCGCTCGTGGTATCCATCTCATTTTTATCCCCACTCTCACTTGATTAAAAATTCTAATTAATTGATACAATACAACTCTAAGTTAGCTATATATACCCTTCAACCCGAGCCTTTGCAGGCAGCTTCTACCAATATCTATCACAGTAAATTCACACAAATATAATATCTATACTTGTGTGTATGCATACATATACATATATAGAAAATTCAACTAGCTGAACAGAACCCAGAAAGCGGCTGCAACAATAATGGAGAGTGGTGATGAGAAGAAGCATTTGGAAGAAGTTCCCGCAGAGAAATATGAGAATGGCTCCTCTGGAATTCTTTCTGTGGTGAAGATGATAAAGCAGGCTGGTTCTATGGCTAAACAAGACATCAAAGCTTTGGTTCTTGATGCTTTGGGAGCTCTACTTGTCTGTGCTCACCCTCACCCTGTTATTCAAGAGAATACACACAACGTATTAGCCAATAACTTGGAATTTTGGTCCATCCATATCATAACCTGATGAATATGTACAAATTAATTACACACCAGTTTTATTGAAGTAATACTATAGTCTACCTTCACCAAAGTTCGCGGGTGTGTATAAATGTATATAATTGATTGGGAAATTTGAAAATATATATATATATATATATATATCAATATCCCAAGGTGCAATGATTTTCAGCATGAAGATGGATGGTTCCTTAAAATATAAAGTGATTTGTCCATGTGAATAATTTAGTTTGATTATAAGATAATTCTACGTAAATTTGAATTTGTTGAGCACATTTTTTTCATGACTTTATCCCAAAAAACCACTCTGATAATCTAGTGGAATTCTCTGTTTATAATTTAATTTGGTGGATATGAAATTAGGAATTATAGAAAAATTAAATAGAAAATAAAAATTTTCTAGGAAAATAATAATAATAATAACTGAAGAGTCGTAAGAGGAGCACAAATGGAACAAAATTAAAAAATAAATAAATAAATAATATTCCGTTGCCGGGACTTGAACCCGGGTCTCTCGGGTGATAAATATTTGATATTCAATTTAAAACGACAGCCAAGGAATGAAAACAAAACTTCTACTTTGATTCAGCCAAGATTGACAGGAACATTAATATGCAGAAAGTTTTTTAAATCATAAACTGAAGGAACAGGTTTCTAAGAGAATATGCATTATGATACAATTTGCACTTCATACTAATCTTTGCTAAATTAATGGAAAATGTCGATACCCTTATTTATACGGCAGTTTGTCAAATTTGGTGAGACAGAAATGGGGAACGCCTGAGCTGAGAAGAAAAAGCTCATGATGCTAGATGTAAGACTGGTGAAAAAGGAATTTGTGTTCAATTCCATGTTATTTTAAAAATTTATCAATTTAATATATAAATACTTCATTCTTAATTTTATTTTTGGCCCCCACAGATCTTTTCATATCATTATTTCAAAATATTTGAATCACACATTTATTATACATTTAAACTTGACCATTGAATCACATCACTAACCAACATATCGAGAATAACAAACTGACATTAGAACTGAGTCATGTATAAGTTGCCAAAAGTAATTAGATTTAAAGAGAAAAGTAGGTATCGGAATGTCATATTGAGGAAATTTTTCTCATTTCATAGAAATCAAATCACTACGTGCAGTTTTTCAAAAGTTTTGTAAAGAAGCACCTTTTGATGTAGAATATTACCCGGTTTTTGATCATCCAATCTCCATATCCCAACAACCAATAACACCCACAGCTTCATCCTCCATAAAAGCAAATATACCATGACTTAATTACATATCATGGCTTCATTTCATCACATATACCGAAAATGCTATAACGCTTCCAGGCATTTTGCCTTCATGATTCTCTTATCTTTGAATCAAGCAAGTAAAAGAAACTCGCAGCATTCAAAAAATAATAATTCCTCTATATGTTTTAATTATTTCTCTTCCAGCATCTAAGGCAAAATGATTTTCCCACTTTCGTCCTTCTATCTAACAAGCATTCAAACACAAGCAAATCATAAAACTGCATGAAGAACTATAAACGAAAAATGATCAATTCCATTTGCAACCCTGTTTTACAGATTAAAAAAAAAAAATCCTAATCCTTTATTCATCCACTTCAGAAAAGAATCAACCCAAAAACATTTTTTAAGTACATCAAATGTACAGCTCCATTGCAGGTCATATACTACAGAGGCCACACGAGAAAGTTTAGTTAAAAATACATGCAAGAAATGAAAATTTTTTCCTGTCTATAATGTCATTTCTTACCAAAAACGGACATTACTTAAAGAACACAATGACTAGATCTCAATATAATATTTGGTAATAAAACTTTAACACTAATGAGTATCACATGTCTAATTTTCCTTCTCGATACCTGGTCAATGACAGACCAGGAGACATGCGGCAATTAGCAGTTGGAAATGTGGATGTACACCTACTATGCGAAGGAAAGAGAGAACCAGACCCAGAACAACACGACCTGAACAAAACCATCTTTATCTGAAGCTTGCAAAGCAAACCAAGACCCAGAACAGGCAATATATAAAGATAGCAGGAACAAGCTTCTGTTCGAAAGGAACAAAGAGCTGAAGAGACTCGAAACAAAGCACAACGGACACAACCCATCACGCTTCAAAATTACTTGCCCCATATTTAAAGGGAACTGAACACTCCCATCAGCATCATGAAGAACATGCATGAGGTGTATATTCAATTAAATGGCAGATGGCTTGTTGCGGCCCCCAAAGACTTTCAAATTTTATAGATCTAAGATCATGCCCAGTTAGCAACAAAGAAATCCAACAATGCATCCATAAGACCAAAAATATCCAAGCAGCCTGCCAAAAGGTTAGCCATATCAATATACCGGAAGATATAAATTTTAAACTGGCACACAGCAGCATTAAAGAAAATAGATTACCCGCTTGACTCCTGTTTATTTAGTAAGCTAATGAAAACAGGGTAGCCAAAATGGGCATTTATAAGGACAGCTGATATTCTCCATGTGAGAAGAACCAAGCTCCCAATGGTCAAATCCTTACTACCAGTCCTCTTAATAACCATCCAACACGAAAACACCTCCATAATAGCATTGCATATGCATAAAAGTGAGAGGATGATCACATGAAATCGAGCAGCAATAAGGGCATTCATAGAGTAAAGGACCAAATCCTTAAGTGCAAGAAAGCACAAGACTTCACACGGGACCAAAACATCGAATAGAGCATTTAGGAACACACAAAAGCATTGGTTTTTTCCATGGTTCGCACTTGAAAGGACTGGTCTAGGGTATTGAACTGTCCATACATGTGAAGAGAGCACATCCAATAAAGAGAAACTCCATCTTAGCAAACACCCACAACCATCAGCTCCTCAACTGCCACAAGAAATGCCACATAGTTCTCTCACTACAACAGTAACCATGAGAATTTGATAAGTAATAAATGTAAAAAGATGCCTACCACAGGATGCAGTCCTCTTAACGAGCATTTCCTGCTCCACGGCGCTCATATGGACCAGAGCGATCACGATTATACCTGTCACCCCCAGCACCTCCACGACTACCACCATCTCTGTTGCGTCCACCAAATCGATCTCCATTCCGGTCAGGACCATAACGACTCCCACCACCCCCACCACTTCCACCATACCTATCATCCCTACCACCATCCCTGCCACCATACCTGCCCCCTCTAGCCACTTCACCGGGACACTCCCTAGCAAAATGCCCAGGCTTGCCACATTTAAAGCACTCTCCTCCACCACCACCACCACCACCACCACGCCCACCACCATAATCACGGTTGCGGTCACGATCATGTCCTCGGTCACGGCCACGGCCACCATCATGATCTCTACTTGATCCTTGCTGGGGCTGTGCTCTATCAACAGTTATATTTCGCCCATCTAAATCCATTCCATTCATGGCCTCAATAGCATCTTCCATTGCTTTTTTCTCATCAAACGTGACAAACCCAAATCCACGAGAGCGTCCAGAGAACTTGTCAACAACTACCTGAGTAAGAAAATGAATATTACAAAACTGCAAATCCATACTAATTTAGAACTATTAAGATGTTTGAGAGAACATTTCATTAGACACCATTGATGTTATTACTAGAGCACTAAGACATCTTAGAACCATTTTTTCAAAAATATAGGCATTAATTATTCAACTCATGACTTGACCTTCATAAGTGCAGTTGCTACAAACAAAGCCACTACAAGAACCTTCCAATAGAAAGTGAAGTTAGGTGCCAAATGGCTGCTTCTTGCATACCCAAAACATTATAATCAATAATACAAGCGCTGGAAAAGCTGGTGCACTAATGAAAACTGTAAAGCTGTAATAAAGACAATACAACATGATAACACGTGAAAGCTTTACCAGAATATTTCCAGCAATCATTACCTTAGCCTCAAGAAGATGGCCAAATTTTTCAAATGCATCTTTAAGGCCTCTATCAGTTGTTGACCATGAAAGGCCACCAATGAAACAGCGGTACTCCATGTCTTCTGACATTCTCTAAACTGCACTTTTTCAATAAAGGAATTATCAAGAAAGGAAAAAATCCAATTCTGTGATGCAGAACCGAAGAAGAAAATAAATGTTTTGGGAAGTTTTACACTAAACGGAATAAGAAATTTTAATTTATTTTCTAGCAGAAATAGAAGTTTTGGAAAGTTTTACAATAAACAGAAATAGGAAGATTTAATTTCTTTTTCCTAAGTAGTTCCTTAGTTCTTCCTATTTAGCTTATTTCCCTACTTACTAGATTTTCTAGATTTCCTTTTGATTGTATCGTGGTGCCTATAAATAAGTTACTCTAACTTAGTTATGAAACAGATATCCATGATTATTTTTCAAATATTGAGATACTATTTCGATTATTAAGATCTAAGATCTCCAAGTTTTGTTCAAAAAAAAATTTTCCGAAGTTTTATCATTAAACCCTTTTTGTCATACATTAGTATGTATCTACTATTATCCATTCCAAGATCCTTCTGTAGGCAAAATATACCATTATAAGCTCATCATGTGTAAATGTTAGAGGAATGGCTCATGTCGATATAGCATTCAAAAAAATCCACAATATCTAGCATGGTAACATCTAAATATGAAAAGACTCTGCAACAACAAACCTTATGATGTGGCAACTAACAAGAGTAGAAGCAGATATGTCATATCGAAAACAATAAAACCAAATAAAGACTCAAAATGATTGCTTATAGTGAATAAAGTTCCTTGCTGCCATTAAAACTTTTAAATGAAAAATAAAGATTATAAACAAAGAAAAATCCTATACTACGCACCAAACAGATAGGAAGTTAAGATGAATAATCAACAATCAATTATGTGCTAGTTGAATAGGAGAAGATTTCCACATTCCGTGAAAGTTGATTGTCTCATCACTTCAATTATGTAATTTAGATGCAATTTAATTTTTTCACAGTTATCTTGTCTCAATTTATTCAATACAAATTTTTCAGTTAAATGAAATCATTAAACATATATCCAGTGCCTCTCAACAAATCGTAGCTAAGCAGCAGTACCAAATCATCATGTAACCTCCCAAGCCATAAGCATACCCTAGAAACATAAATTGTTCAAGAGATAACGTCAGTATCATCTGAATCGTATATTTATAAAAATATAATAACTTTCCTCTTGTTCTTTGTTATGCAGCAATATTCAACCTTCGAGTTACCAGCATTAGAATTTCCTAGCGAAATTATTAGGATCTACAACAAAAACCTTCGATCATCAACAACCTAAAAGGTTAATACACGTTGAATATCCAGAAAGATTTTAGGTCAAAAATACTAAAATCAAATCTAATATCACATACAAGAAAAAGCCTCAACCTAATCACAGATAGGATAATTTCATAGCTAATTTGCAAAGATTGGTTTATAATAAACAACATATCACAGGAAAACCAGATTTAATCCATCTATCTTTGCTCCGTCTAACGGAAACAGAACGCGCAACAGCCTGTAGCTCTAAGACTATTCAAGCATTCTGCAGATCTGAAGCTACAAATCAAATAAATCGAAATATAGGCAACAGATATCTTATCCAGAGTATCGCATACTTTAGTCAAATATACAAGAAACTAGAACATAAAAGCAGCATACCAGCGAAACAGAGGCGAAAAATCGAAGCTTTGTAAAACGAGAACTCAAACAACGAGAGAGAAGCGTAAGGGGTAGAGGCGGCACGCGGCTTTAAAATCTTTTTTCAGAGGATATTTTCGGAGCAGGGATCATGTGGAGCAAGCTTTATCGTACTGCTGTGCTACATACCAACTGACGTCAGTCTTCGGGAGGACGTTTTTCATCCTAGAAAATGTAAAAATTAAGATGAAATTCATTTTAATGATTTGTTAGGTATTTTAAAATATAAGAAACAAAATCTAATTTTTAATTAACTCCAAATTATATATTACATGATTTTTTAATATAAAAATAAATTTGATAAAGTATATAATAATTAAATTTGTTAAATACAAAAATAAAAACTTTAATTAATATATATTAATTTTTAAAATTATAATTCGAGTGTAATATGGAATACTTATCTTTTATAAATATAAAATAAAAATCTAAAGGTCTTGGAACTTATGGGCAAATATGTAAGGACCCCCATAAATATCTAAAAAAAATAAATGATAATTAAAGTGCAAAAACGAAATAAATGTTCAAGTTTTATATTTCTTACCCAATAATTTAAAATACCAATTAGTGTTACAGAATTCACACTTTTGAAAAAAATACAAAGAAATAATGAAATAAAAAGAAAATAAAGAAAACTAGCATTATATTCGCAACCTTCTTCTGGATCGGGTTCTGAATCATGTTCCTCTTAATCTGTAATTGTTAAATAAGGGATGACATATACTACCCCAATAAGAATATCACACTATATCATTGATACAGAAATAAAAGTTGGTAGAAAAAAAATAAAAAACAACTAATGGAGCACTAAATTAAATAAATTCATTTATCAATAATAAAATCATTTATCGTCCACATACCGTAGTGAAATTTATAGAAAACAATAACATTATATATATCATAATTTCGTATATACTTGACAACATAGTTGTAACGTCCAGAAAATTGGGCAATTTTGTTATTTTATTATGAATTTTATTTATTAAGTTAAAAAAAAAGCGCCACATCAGCAGCCACGTCAGCGGCCCAGTCAGTAGCCCTGGCCAACCAGGACCTGCCGCGTGGCAAGACCACGTAAACCCGGAGACAGACCACGTTGGCGATCCGCGTGCGCGCGATCGGACGGCTCAGATGCGTTCCCGCGCGCACGGACGGCCCAGATTCAATCAAAAACGGACGGCCCAGATTAAATCAAAATGAACGGCTGAGATCAAAAAGCAAAAGGGTATAAATAGAACCCCCACACCTGACCACAAAAACCCTAGCCGCCTGTCCTCGCCGGAGAAGACGAACCAGACGCCGGAGGAGCCGGCCGCCGCCACCCGCCGCCGCACCGGGGAGATTTTCGACCGCCGATCGAGGTAAATTTCATACCCGCGACTCGTTTTTCCACGCTGAGTTCCCCTGTGGCCAAATCGGAGCCCAAATCCAGGCCAAACGGCCGAAACTCAACGGCGCCGCCGCGCCCCTCCTCGGTTTTTGCCTCCGATGAGGCCCTTCCCGGCCTCCGTTTGATGCAATTTTTATATCACCGTGATCACCATTTTTTTTTCTCTACAGGTTGATCGGAGCCAAATCACCAAAACACGAACTTCGCCGGAGAGCCGCCGCACCCGAGAGCACCGCCGCCAGGTAAGCTTCGGTTCTTTCGTAATTTTTTG